CCCTTCGCACATATGTGCTAGTCGTTCCCGACTCTAAGAGGCGGTGCTCATCTCCGTTTCAAAGCCGAAGAGCCAGTGCTGTCTGAAGACGTCTCCCTGGTCATGTGGCCAGCATGACTAAACGCCAAAGGCGCACAGAATGCTGTTACCTTCCCATCAAAGGTGGTCCCTATTTTTCTACTTGCATTTTTTTACGTGCTTTTGAACTGCTAGGTTGGCAGAAGCTGGGACAAGTAATGGGAGCTCACCCATAGTGCAAACTTAAAAAATAATGGATGCCTGCTTCTTCTTATATAAAACTTTATGAGAACTCTAGTTTAAAAATTAGGTGCTATTATCTTAGATACCAATTGATCTAAAGCAAACTTTATATACTTTAGTTGCATATTGTAAGATAGAAGCACTCAACATTAATTATGCAAAATTGGTGTGTGTATATACAGTATATAATAGTAATAATTCCTGCTCCACCAGGAAGCGCGGGAGGACCCCTTGGAGGGTAGAGCCGAGGATTTTGTCCAATATCTGTATGACAAAATCGCTCAGATTCGGGAAGATCTGGACTCCGACTGGATAGTCTCAGGGGGAGGGACTGGGGCAGGTCTTGAGAATGTTATCTGGGATGAGTTTGATCCTGTGACCCCTGAGGACGTGGACAGGATTCTGGGTAGACTGAATGCGACCACTTGTTTATTGGACCCGTGTCCCTCCTGGTTAGTGCTGGCTTCTCGGGAGGTGACACGAGGCTGGTTCCAGGGGATTATAAATGCTTCGCTGGGTGAGGGTGTCTTTCCTGCCGCCTTGAAAGAGGCGGTGGTGAGGCCTCTCCTCAAGAAGCCTTCCCTGGATCCGGCAATGTTGGTAAATTATCGTCCGGTCTCCAACCTTCGTTTTGTGGCAAAGGTTGTTGAGAGTGTGGTTGCGCAACAGCTTCCCCAGCACCTGGATGAAACGACGTATCTGGATCCGTTCCAGTCAGGCTTCAGGCCCGGGTACAGCACGGAAACGGCATTGGTCGCGTTGGTTGATGATCTCTGGAGGGCTCGGGACAGGGGGTGCTCCTCTGTCCTGGTCCTGTTAGATCTCTCAGCGGCTTTTGATACCATCGACCATGGTATCATGCTGCACCGGTTGGAAAAGTTAGGGGTGGGAGGCACCGTGTTGTGGTGGTTCTCCTCCTTTCTCTCTGACCGGTCGCAGTCCGTGTTGACAGGGGGACAGAGGTCGACCCCGAGGCCCCTCATATGTGGGGTGCCGCAAGGGTCGGTCCTCTCACCTCTCCTGTTCAACATTTATGTGAAGCCGCTGGGCGAGATCATCCATGGTTTCGGGGTGGAGTACCATCAGTACGCTGATGACACCCAGCTATACATCTCCACCCCGGATCACCCCAACGATGCCCTTGAAGTGATGTCCCGGTGCCTGGAGGCCGTACGGATCTGGATGGGGAGGAACAGGCTCAGGCTCAAACCATCCAAGACCGAGTGGCTGTGGTTTCCGACGTCCCGATATAGCCAGTTGACGCCATCACTGACTATGGGGGCGAATCATTGGCCCCCACAGAGAGGGCTCGCAACTTGGGCGTCCTCCTGGATTCACGGCTGTCTTTAGAAGAGCACTTGACGGCCGTGACCGGGAGGATTTTTTATCAGGTCCGCCTGATTCGCCAGTTGCGTCCCTTTCTGGATCGGGACTCGTTACGCACGGTCACTCATGCCCTCGTCACCTCCCGCCTGGACTATTGTAATGCTCTCTACATGGGGCTCCCCTTGAGGAGCACCCGGAGGCTCCAACTGGCGCAGAGTGCAGCCGCGCGGGTGGTAATGGGAGCGACATGGCGCTCCCATGTAACACCTCTCCTGCGCGAGCTGCACTGGCTCCCGGTGGTCTTCCGGGTGTGCTTCAAGGTTTTGGTTACCACCTTTAAAGCGCTCCATGGCTTAGGGCCTGGTTATTTACGGGACCGCCTACTACCACCAATAGCCTCCCACCGGCCAGTACGCTCTCATAGAGAGGGACTCCTCCGGGTGCCGTCAGCCAAACAGTGTCGACTGGCGGCCCCTAGGGGGAGAGCCTTCTCTGTGGGGGCACCTACCATTTGGAATGAGCTCCCCCCGGAGATACGGAGGATCCCGGATCTGCTTTCCTTCCGCCGTGCTGTGAAGACCTTTTTATTCCATCAAGCGGGCTTGGCCTGATCTCTTCCCTTTTTAAAATATGTAAATTTTAATCTGTTTTTAAATTATTGGGGTATTTTAATTTGTCTGGGCCAAAAAGTTTAATTTGATTTTATCGGGTTTTTAAATTTTGTGTATTTATGTATTTTATTGTTGGCTGTTCACCGCCCTGAGTCCTTCGGGAGTAGGGCGGTATACAAATCAAATAAAACCTAAACCTAAACCTATTATGTAATTGTAATATAAATATAACAATTATGTTTTATATAGTCACACACACACACACACACATACACATATATATACATATTTGCTAAACACCCTAAAATTCATGCTTACCCAATTTAAGAAGTTTAGATCTTCATATATATATAGGAGTGTTTTACGCATGGCACACTTGACGTATGTTGTCTCTAGCAACAAAAGTCAGCAACAGTCCTGCAATCCTTGTATTACTTCAGCAGTGCATTATTTTACCTATTTTCAGCTAGTGTGCAACACTGCCACTTTTGTTCTGAGCCCAATGGGATCATATAGGTCCTTCACTCCCTTTAGAGAGGATGAAAAATTATTTTTTAAATATATTGCAGATCCTTTGATGGATTTGTGTTCCCAACATGGACTTAAATCATGAGGCTGTTGTGACTAAAATTGAAACTAATATCTGACCATGTATCTTTTTTACTGGTTGAAATTACATTTTTTCCACATTTTACATCAGGAATTGATGCCTCTGATTTTCATTTTTGATTTTAAATGATGACTTGGTTTCATCTACAAAAGTGCACATGAAACCGAAGTGCTGTGGTTTCTCCCTTAAAGCAATCCTGAGGTATGCAGTAGACATGCAGTGGTTGCCTTTAAATAGTGTGCCAAGGAACTGGCTCTCAAATATGTTTTCTGTTTTCAAGCCAACTAAATATTTGAGTCAAATATGGTTCCTAAATTCAGAAGAGCTTTAACTTGACAAGAGTTAATGCTCTTCCAACAGTTGTTCTGGAGGGGAAAATTTGGAATATCCTATTTGAACAAAAACTTTGTCCCTATGATGAAAGAGACCTTAACCTATTAACCCACATTTTATTATATTTATATTTATTATTGCTGTCATGGTAAAAGATGCCTCGCTGAAGCTAATAATACCACATCTAAGCAGACTTCCGATTCACCTAGATCTATTTTATTTACAATTGTTATTATCTAGTCACTGTAATTTTATTTCTTTTAACAAGGTTTTGTTTTACTATTTATTAAATTTAGCACACTTCAACCAATTTCAATATCATAATTATTGGGTTTTACTGCATTTTTATTCCCTGTCTCACAATTCTTCCTGCTTTTGAGCTGGTCTTTAATTGTAATAAAGTACTTCTACTAACTTTACTCTTGTCAATTTATAGCCTGTTTTCCCCAAAATAAGACATCCCCTGATAATAAGCCCAATCAGGCTTTTGAGTGCATGGCAATAAGGCCAAGCATTTATTTCAGGGTTCAAAAAAATATAAGACAGGGTCTTGTTTTCGGGAAAACACGGTATTATGGTGCCAAATGGGAAATAGGTTATTTGCCTCTGAAGATACTTCTATATTAAATAATATTAAAATAACGCTATGAAAGTACAATAAGCCAGTTTGATGTATTCAGTAAGGCTAAAAACCGGGAGACTGAATTCTAGTCCCACTTTAGGCATAAAGCTGGCTGGGTGATTAGGGGCCAGTCAGCCTCTGTCAGCTCTAGGAAGGAGGCAATGGCAAACCACTTCTGAAAACTGCAGGCACTTATCCAGGGAGTCTCTGAGAATTGGACACAATTGAAAGACAAAATATATATATTTCAGTTAATGACTGCTTGTTATGTTAAAGAAAGTGAGCAACTTGTTAGTAACTGCATACCCAAAATTATGTCATACTGTAAGAATGGAATGGGACTTACTTCTTGATTCACACTAATTTTGGCAAGTACAACACAGCAAGCCAAAGTGTTCGGAAATGCACTGTATTCTTGGCCTTTATTTTTAACCCAGAAATCTGACTCTGGGGAAAGTTTCAGGTCCTAGCTATCAATCATTCTTTGATCCTGCTAAAGGTTCCCATGAATGACAGTTGCTGTCTTTTCTCATGCCTATTAAAGGGCTAAGCCTACAGTTGAACTCACATGTTTCAGATTCCTGCATATTGATGAAGCCTAGTTGATTTCTAATGACTTCCATTGACAAAATTACAGACCCCAGCTTTGATTCTCAAGTGTTTTTCCCAAACTTTACTGAAGTTATACCACTGACTGTCTTTATTAAGATAGCTTCTTCTTAATAGAGACATTTTCTTAGACATCAATCTGTATTTTATAACATGATATAAATAATTCTAATAGTTCTAACATTTCTGTATTCTGTGTGACATATTGATGAATGTGCATTATGGATATAACTTATAATGAAAGATTTCTCATATTGCTGTAAGTTAATTTTATTTATTAGACTTTCATTTACGGCACCGTTTGATGGCACATAGAGTTTTCGGCCACCAGCTGTAATTTTGCTGTAGATTAAGATATAATGGAGCAAAAAGGCAGGTGAACACTATGAAATAGATGCAGATGTATAAAACTTATATGTAAGTCTTCTTTATTCATCAATACAATCAGAGTTGAAAATCCTTGCTGTTTTATTGTGATCATTGGCTGTGCAGTTTGGATGTCAGCCAGTATGATTATGTTTGGAACTAAGCTCTCCCTTTTTAAAAATAGCGATAATATTTAATCAATGAATCACGTACCGTCAACCACACCTGACATTGGGTTTTTTTTTTTTTTTTTGGCATTTAGATTGGAAGATTGATTATTGGGCAGAATGGCATTTTATCCACTCCTGCTGTGTCCTGCATTATCAGAAAGGTCAAAGCTGCTGGGGGGATTATTCTCACAGCTAGTCACTGTCCTGGAGGACCTGGAGGAGAATTTGGAGTAAAGTTTAACATTGCCAATGGAGGTAAGAGTTATTGTGATGCATCTTATTACAAACTCTGATTTGTTTTTGTTTTTTTTTAGAAAAAACGTAAGGTCTGAAAAGAAATTTGCCTATTACATTGCCTATTACAGTCAATCTATAATCACATAAAAATGTAAAAATAATGTCTGTCTATATCTGTCTAACCAGCCAGCCAGCAACCCAGCTATCTATCTTAAGATGTCTTAGATTTAAATACAACATATTAAACAATTTTTAAAAGGCTTGTAGACTTTTCCAACTATTTGTTTTTTGGAATTAAAATCGTTGAATAGATATGTTTTCATCTCTCTTGAGATCTGTGACAAGCAGTCTGATGTAGTAGCCACAGCCTCTGTTGATATCGGCACAGCTTCCTGTCCCATTAGATTTCTAAAATATTCTTTAGAATATCTAAAATATTATTTACTTATAAATAAATAGGAATCTGATATACTACAGCAACCCCGTTTGGATCTTCTTCTCCAAAAGTTAACTGGTAGAATGCATCCTGTATGGGGGGAAAAAAAGTGACAAGGAATATTCTCACCAGTTTTTCCTATGGTAAATTAAATATGCTACTCTCCACATAGAGCAGAGGTCTTCAAACTTGGCAGCTTTAAGACTTGTGGACTTCAACTCCCAGAATTCTCCAGCCAGCTATGCTATGGCTATAAGTTTAAAGACCTCTGACATAGAGTATGGTAGCCATTTTGTGAGAACATTGCAAGCTCTCAAAATTCTAATATGCCCATTGGCTGCAAAATTTTGTACATAAGAGCAATAGCAATAGCACTTAGACTTATACACCGCTTCACAGTGCTTTAGAGCGGGGGTCACCAACCTTTCGGACCTCAGGGACCACTAAAGTCATAATTTTAAATCCCGTGGACCACTAATACGATCTGCCTAATGACTGGCTGGGTGGGCGTGGCTCAGTGGTCATGTGACTGGGTGGCTGTGGCCAACTCGATGTCACTCATGTCGAGGGGCGCATTGTCAGACTCTACTCGCCCTTTCCCTCCCAGCCACTCCTCACCTGCCTGTCCAGGCTCCTTAGGGCCCCAACAGGAAGCAGTTGTTGGAGCTAAGCAGCCACCCCGAGAAAGAGTTGGCAAAACAGCTGGCTCAGTTCAAATTGGATCTGACTGAGAAGAAGGCTCAGCAGAAGCACCTCACTGAGGATTAGGAGCATAGGCTTTCCAAACAGAGGGAAGACCTGTGGGTGTGCAAGGCCAGGTACCGGCACCTAGAGGCTCAGCGGGTTGAGATGATCAGCCAGTTCCAGGCCATGATGCAGTCCCACTGGAACAAGGCCTTCTGGCTCTTTGCCACTAGCGGCACTTTTCTCCAGCCTTCGCCCAAAGCCCCGCACCAGGAAGTCTGAAGTAGACCCCAAGTCGACTTTCTGCCCCCCTGACCCACACAAAAAGACCCCAAAGGGGGAGACTCTCTGCAGCAACACAAACGTTCATTGCATGTATGCGGCCCAAGGGCCATAGTTTAAGGACCCCTGATTTAGTGCAATATAAAAAATGGAAATAATTTTTCTGTGGACCACCAAAATATTCTTGCGGACCACCAGTAGTCCACAGACCACCAGTTGATGACCACTGTTTTAGAGCCCTTTCTAAGCAGTTTACAAAGTCAGCATATTGCCCCCAACAATCTGGGTCCAATAATTGAACTAGATTGAAAAAAAAAATCCTACTAATTAATATTTGCTGAGATATTAAACCCAAGGAGTTTAATTTGATTTTTCAGAAGATTCAACGTTGGATGTTCAGATCAGTTTTAATCTGAAGATTTCAGAGACCATAAAAAGCTCTAATAAAATATGTACTGCTAAAATACTATGTTAATTTAAACTATTGTATATCTCGTAATAATACATAAAATTTATTTTGTATTTAAAAGCATTTAATCTCTGTTTTGTGGTGATATTCAAGAACTGATAAAAGCTTATGTTTGTATTATCTTTTCAGGTCCAGCTCCAGATGTTGTTTCTGATAAAATTTATCAGATCAGCAAAACCCTTGAAGAATATGCCATTTGCCCTGATTTGAGAATTGATTTGTCTCGGTTGGGAAGACAGGAGTTTGATCTGGAGAATAAATTCAAGCCTTTCCGGGGTATTGAATTCTTTTCCATAGTGTGGAAATTTGCAATTAAAACTGAAAAGTTAGTCCTTTAAAAAGTTATTGGCATGGTAGTATATTAGAACTGAAATAGGAAATCCAGAATGGAAATGTGACTTTTCCCTTGTTACCCAACTGTTTATAAGTTTCATATAAATTTTAGTACTATAAAGGCAATACCATATTGATAATAATCTTATTCTGGCTGTGATTGAAATTCAAACCAATATTTAACTTTCTGTTTCCCTGGTTCTTGTTAGCTTAGCATTCCCATTCTACATATTTTTCTTTAGGCATTTTACTTCTAAACTTAAAGCATGAGTTGAAATTTCAGTTTCTCATTCTACAGCCTTTGTTTTACTTTGCTAAATTGATTATGGATTTTTGTGGTCATTGTGTTACTAAGCCACATAGTCATTTTATAAAGTTTTTTCATTTGTGGTTTTATTTTAGACTTTTTGATATCTTGTTGATATTTTGTTTTATTCTATTGTGTGCCAACAGTTCTGGAAGTAATATAGTGAGTTTTAGAACTTACAACCCTATCTTTTCTTGTGCCTTTATCAGTCCAACGTGATTATTACTGCCCAGAGCCCCTGTCTGAGGGAGATAGGCGGTTAAGAAATATGAAATATAAATAAATAAATTAAGCATGTCTTAAGTTATTCCCTTGCTTACTCCTAGAATATCCAAAAAGCTAACAATACAATTCAGAGTTGACAGGATCAGATAGAAATTATGGCTGACCAAAAACATTCAGTGGGACATTTTGTGAAGTAACCCTTTAAGTAAAAAAACCTTAAAGTAACACTCTGAGATACAGTAAAGCATTGAGGCCTGTATTCTTGAAAGTGAAACACTCCAAGGACCTTACTAAGTTGCCTGAACATGCAGATACATGGACATCAACAGAATACACTTCTGCTGATTCAGCAACTTTTAAGCAACTTTGCCCTTTCGGATAGTTCAGACAACCCTAGCAAGAATTCTACTATGGACATTGAATTGCCAAATTGAGAGGTGATCTTTGAAAGAGGTGCTGGGTCAATTCCCAAAGTGTTTATGGCATATATTTTCACTTGCTCGGTGATAAAAATTTTTATAGTAATAATTTTTATGTGGTGTGTACTTACAAGCACAGTATCCTGACTTATATTCTTTGTTTGATCTTTTGTGCACAGTTGAAATAGTGGATTCTGTGGAGGTTTACCTTAATCTTCTGCGGACCATTTTTGATTTCAGTTCTATTAGAGGCTTGCTAACTGGGCCAAATCAACTTAAGATCAGAATTGATGCCATGAATGGAGGTAAAGAGCGCCATTTTTAATGCAATATGTAAACCACTGATTTTTACAATGCTGAAAATAAGATTTAAAACTCATGCAGTAATTAATTACTATTGATTTATAACAGGCTATCCTTCTAAATACATTTGCTAGAGAGTGATCCTTAATGAACACGGAGAAATGCACATGATTTTGCTGTTAAGTATAATATTCAAAATGTCTCCCATATCTCATGTTCTTAAGGGAGTTATGCGTATGGTGAGAGTGGGACAGAGTCAGAGAGATGCCTTAAATTTCCTACTGACTTAATTTTGGAGATGAGAGTGAAGGGGAAAACCCCCTTTCTTCAGCTGAAAACCAAAATATTAGTGGCAGCTTGAAAGCTTAATTAATTAGGGCATCTTTCGGAAACTTCACAATTAGTTGGCTCCGAGAAAAAGCAGTTCTTGAATGACCAGGACACTTTCTGTTTCAATTAACTCATGAAAAGTATTTATAGCTTTGTTCTTTTTGAATTGAAAGGACATCAAATATATATATATAGAAAAATCTAGCTGCTTAGCCCTTAGGATATAAACTATTTTCAGCAACTCCACATACACGTTATTACTTCCGTGCTAAGATAATTTATTCTTAACAGTGATATAGTTACTTGGTATGACAAATGCATTTAATGGATTATATGTTGAAGAATTCGTAGAAACCGGAATTCTTCAAATGTGGCAAAAATAACTGGGACAAAGGTGACAGATTTAAAAAATACGTTATTATATTTTTTAAGTGTATACATTTTTGCCCACAAACTGGTTTCTTCAGTTTATTCTATTAAAACCTTCAATAATAGGTTTTAAAATAATTAATTACTATCATCTTGAGAAAAGTTAAATATGGCAAGAGTGTTTATACCACAAATAAATTGTTGAAATGCATTTTTCTATTACATTCTTATACGCAAAGTGATATCGCATTTCAACCACTGCCTGTTTTCCATTTGTATTTTTTTTTAATGCTATTCAATTTTTCTTCTCCCCACAAAAATGCAGATACTATAATTGAGTTTAGTATATGACTTCATACCAGCTATTTCCCTCAACAATTGGCTAAGGAGATATTTTCAAAGAGCCACAAAATTCTTTGCAGAAGTGGAAGAAAATCTGTCTCTTCCTTTAATTATGTTTGATGTTGTTGTTTAAGTAGAACAACATTCTTTTTTTAAAATCAGTTTCCTTTCATTTCCTGAGACCATTTTTTCTACTGCTCAAACATAAAACTCTTTCAGTGTGACTACTGCTATAAAATGTCCACTAGTAGAATATTTGAATTATATCTGGTATTATACAGCTATTTCTTAAGCACTCTCATGGGTTTTTCCCCCCCAAATAAAGTTTGTTATTTATTAATATATATCAAATGGTATATATTGCTGCTCTGTGTTCTCACTATTTTTATAAAATAGCTGGACTTTCAGGTGTGAATTTCCAGAGTACAAATTAATCCAGAATCAAACTACCTTTAAATTAATCACCACACTAATATGTTTCATTTTGATACAGGCTTTTTATTGAACAAATGACATAAGCAGCTGAACTGGGGTAGGCCCTAGTGGGTCACCAAATTATGTGGCTGAAAAAGTGGACAAACTGCCAATTTAGATATTCTACAGGTGGTCCTCAACTTATACAACTGAGTCCAAAATTTCTGTTACTAAGCAAGGCAGTTGTTAAGTGACTTTTGCCCCACTTTACAACTTTTTTTACCACGATTGTTAAGCAAAACCACTGCAGTTGCTAAGTGAATCTTGATGTCGTTAAGTGAAACTGGCTTTCTCCATTGACTTTGCTTGTCAGAACCCGGCTGGGAAAGTTACAAGTGATGATCACATGAACTCCAGGACAGTGCAACTGTCATAAATAAATAATTGCCAAGCGCCAATGTTTTGATCATGTGATCACGGGGATGCTGCAATGATCGTAAATGTGAAAACTGGTCGTAAGTCACTTTTTCAGTGCTGTTGTAACTGTGAACAGTTACTAAATGAACAATTGTAAGTCGACGGCTACCTGTACTTCTATAGCAGCATAAAGAACAAAATAAGTGCAATAAATGACTGAAACATCATACATTTGTTTCACTTTTCCAAAATGCCCTAAAACTGAACCAGACATGTCTCTTACCACTCAGTGAAATTACTGCATTCCTTCTACAGTCGTTGTAGAACAAAAAAATAAAGTGCCTATTCCATGTGCTTAATGCTGAACCTCTTCTATTTTCATTGATTTATTGATTATAGTTTGGTTTTACTATTGTTTTTACTGTAATTTGTTCCCTAAATTATTTGGTATAAACAGATCTTTCATAGCCTTCATCTTTTTAAAGGAGATTATATGCATATAAATACAGAGGCATTTTTTTTCGAGAATTGCAGGATACCTTGTTTAATAGAGAGTGATATAATAACCTCTTTAGTGTCTATGGAGATTCTCAGTCATCCAGGTCATAGTTTTCCCAAAGGTGCTTCTTCCAAGAGGCAACTAGACTTTCTGGTTTCTTGGATGAGAAGCGAAACATCTTCAAAGAAAAAACAAGAAAGTCCGGTTGACTCTTGAAAAAGCACCTTTGGGACCCTGTTTAATGCAAATCAGATCCATTTTTTTAAATGCACGAAGGTGTTCATTCTGAATATTTATTTGAAAATGGCCTTTAAATTGAAGGCAAATCCCTTTTGCAGTGATGGGGCCCTATGTCCGGAGGATCCTGTGCGAGGAATTGGGAGCTCCTGCTAATTCTGCAGTTGATTGTGTCCCTCTGGAAGATTTTGGTGGCCAGTACCCTGATCCAAACCTAACATATGCCACTTCCTTGTTGGAAGCAATGAAAGGAGGAGAGTATGGATTTGGAGCTGCATTTGATGCTGATGGGGTAGGTTTGGGGAAACTAACTTCATAACTGAAACTTTCAGAAGATTTCTATCTTTCACATAGATATTGGACTTTTATTTAAGCACAGAAGAAATTAATGATTTAGTTTATCAGTTATGCACCTTAAAACTCCCTCACTATTATGAACGATTCAGTGGTTCAACATTGTTCAGTGTTAAAATATTTAGAGTTCTAAAATATATTGTTTAGTTGCTTACGTGAGATCAGCTGTAGCTTTTTCAACTTCATAACATGTATTGGAATATACATTTCAAGTTCATAATGTATCTCATGGATTTTCCAGACAGATGCATGCATCTCTTTGATAGAATTAGAAATGCTTGGCAGTTAGAATTGGAAAACTGGTAGAAGTTCCTTGTTGGAAGCAATGAAATGATAGCAGTGTTCAGATATCTCAGGGGTTGCCACAGAAAAGAGGGAGTCAAGCTATTCTCCAAAGCACCTGAGGGCAGGATAAGAAGCAATGGATGGAAACTAATCAAGGAGAGAAGCAACCTAGAACTAAGAAGTAATTTCCTGACAGTTAGAACAATTAACCAGTGGAACAACTTGCCTCCAAAAGTTATGAATTCCCCAACACTGGAAGTTTTTAAGAAAAGATTGGATAACCATTTGTCTGAAATGGTATAAGGTTTCCTGCCTGAGCAGGGGATTGTAGACCTCTAAGATCCCTTCCAACTTTGTTATTCTATTCTATTCTAAGTGTCAGGTAAACAAATTGTGTATACAGCTGAACCTAGCCATGGGACCTCCACCCCACCTCACTTCTGGGTTTTTTTCATTTTGCATTATTCATAGTACTACCAAAATAATCTCCAGTTCTTGGTAGAATAATGAAAGGTTTTTTTTTCTGATTTAATCAGTAAGCAACAGATGAAGAAACCTGTGTAAATGATACTTTGAAGGCACGTTTTTAACTCCTTTGTTTAGGGCATGAAGAACTTTCTACCAAGTATTGTGTGACCATTTTAGGAAATGTAATACTGGACTTGATATTTCCAGTTAAATTCAGTTCTTTATCTCATTCTAACTTATAGTTGTTTATCCTTCCTTTGCTGAAAAGATTGTTGGATAACAATTCCTGCCTAGTAGTGAAAGATTTATAGAGCATAATTCTTCACAGTTCAATTAAAGAAAACAGTTGATAACATTATGCTTTGTTATAAGATACAAATAAGAATTAAAAGTTCAAAATTGATTTTGCAATTCCCAATGAAGGAGTACAGATAAAAGATATCTCCTTCCTTCCTTCCTTCCTTCCTTCCTTCCTTCCTTTTTAATCAAGCTTAATGTAAGGAGGAAATGTTACTATTCTTCAAGAGAGTATGTTTCCAGGAAAAAAGAATATGAAACCTTGGAATCACAAGCTATTATATTTTTTCATAATTTATTCAACCAAATTAAACTTCTCCATGGGATTTAGAGCAAGCCACAGACTAAAGCCAAATAACAATTTTGGGTCTCCCTCTTGCTAGACTGCAAATTGAAAAAAGGGAGAATCCATCTATTTTTGCACAAGCACTGCAGATGTTCTTCTTTACTTACTCATTTCCCTTTTCCCTACCCAATATATTTTATTTTCTCTTTTAGGACCGCTACATGATTCTGGGTCAAAATGGCTTTTTTGTTAACCCTTCTGATTCCCTGGCCATTATTGCAGCAAATCTCCATTGCATTCCATATTTTCATCAGATGGCTGTGCGAGGGTTTGGTAGGAGTATGCCTACCAGCACCGCCTTGGACAGGTAGGAGACAAGTTTCATTGATATCATTATATATCTGGGCATGGATAAGGAATTTACTGCTGCATTCAACTCCCAACCCCTTGGTTGCAGTTCAGAAATTCTGGAACTAAATTTCATCAGCAAACCACCAAGAGATGATTTCCCTCCTGTTTTATTTTCCCCTAGTTTAGGGTACTCATAAAAATAAATGCACCCAAATGCAAATGTTGTCTAAATGCATCCAAAATATAGCAATATATATATATTTTAATCTACAGTATGTTTCAAAATAGCCCCATTTATTTGGGATGGGGTGGGCTGTTACTGTTCTGGATTTCCAGATATTTTTATTTTTCCAGATATGTATCTCTGAAATTCAACTTTAGCTTCTCACACTATTAATCTTTCTGATTGGGACTGCTAGGAGTTATATTTCATTATGATATGTGGAGGACCCACAAATTGATCATTTTTGAGTTAAGTATATAATGTGTATAGTTAATTGGAGAGACACTGACCTCATGAACCAGAATAATCTCTATAAAACCCTTGTGTATTTCAGAATCATTTTCCAGAGGAACTATACAATTCAAAGCTATTGTTGTTGTGTGTAGTGCATGTGTGTGCACTTTCACATAATAGAAAGTAGAAGCTATGAGCAAAACATCTTTGTTTCAGGAAAATTGCTACCAAATTACAAATCTTTGTTTAAAATGCTTGAATTTTCTAGCTGTTTTCCCACGTCACTCACTCTTCCTGATTAGAAGAAGCCATGATGTTTCAAATACTGATTACTACTTTTGATACCTTTATTTTAAAAATTGTTAATACCAGTACTTAAAATTTTGATATAAATAAAATAAAATCGAATTTAGTGTGTGACTTTGAATTATCGACTACAGGTCGTCCTCAACCTGCGACCACATTTGAGCCCAAAATTTCTGTTGTTAAGCGAGACATTTCTTAACTGAATTTTGCCCCATTTTATGACCATTCTTGCCAACGGTTGTTCTGTGAATCACTGCAGTTGTTAAGTTAGGTACACTGTTTTTAAGTGAAATTGGCTCCCCCCGTTGACTTTGTTTGTCCGAGGGTCACAGAAGGGGATCCCATGACCCTGGAACACTGCAGCCGTCAGAAATGTGAGTTAGTTGCCAAACATCTGAATTTTAATCATGTGATCATGAGGATGTTGTAATAGTCGTAAGTGTGAAAAAACGGTCATAAGTCACTTTTTCACTTTGTAACTTTGAATGGTAACTAAATGAACTGCTGTACCTTTTTAGAATGCAGTCCCTGACAGATCATTCAAAGGTCAAGCATAGCTCTCAGCTGGAAAAAGACTGTCACTAAGTCTTACAGAATCCGCATGTTGCCTGCAACAACCTGAATCCTCATTTTACTGACCTCGGAAGGATGGAAGGCTGAGTCAACCTTGAGCCAGTCAGGATTGAAATCCTGGCAATGAGCAGTGAGTTAGCAGTGCAGTACAGGTAGTCCTCAACTTGCGACCACAATTGAGCCCAAAATTTATGTTGCTAAGCAAGACATTTGTTAAGTGAGTTTTGCCCCATTTTACGAACTTTCTTGCCACAGTTGTTCAGTGAGAACTTAAGAACTGCAGTTCTTAAGTTAATAACATGGTTGTTAAATGAATCTGGTTTCCATGCTGGCTTTGCTAGTCAGAAAGTCGCAAAAGGTGATCATATGACCCTGGAACACCGCCACCGTCATAAATATGAACCAGTTGCCAAGGATTTTAATTTTGATCACATGACCATGGAGATGCTGCAACATTCATAAGTTTGAAAAATGATCATAAGTCACTCTTTTCAGTGCTGTTGTAACTTTGAACTGTCACTAAATGAACTGTTGTAAGTCGAGGACTACCTGTACTGCATTCTAACCACTGTTCCACCATGGCTCTTGTAAGCAAGCATAGTTAAACCAAATCATAACTACATGATGTGTGAACTTGTCTAAATAGTCACGAACATCTGATCTGCTGATAAACATGTGGGTTTAAAGAATCCTCTTTACTAAGGTAGTTCTTTACTACAGGTAGTCCTTGATTTATGACCAAAGCAGAACCCCATTTCCTGACCTTTTTTGCCCTGATTAAATGAATCACTGCAGTTGATACGTGAATCATGCTGTCATTAAATGGATCTAGTTTCCCCATTGACTTTGCTTGTCGGAAGCCATCGAGAATGGTTACAAATGGTGATCACATGAACATGGGGATGCTGCAAAGGTCATAAGTCTAAAAAACGATCATAAGTCACTTTTTTCAATGCAATTGTAACTTTGAATGGTCATTAAATGAATGGTTGTAAGTCAAGGGCTACCTGTAGTCTATTCAACCCTTTTTTCAGTGCCTGATCCTTTTACGCTGTTTGTCTTTATGGCAGGAATGGGCTCTCCCTGGCTTGTGAACTCTGTGCAACCTCCATTTTTCAAGACTTAGAATAAGCTCAGAACAATGTTTGGTGACCAAACTTTTGATCCTCAGTGAGGCATGGATTTTGTATTTTTCCTTAAAGAACATGCAAACTATGGCTATTTATTCCCTATGGCATTTGATAGGTTTAGTTTGTATTTTAAACCTATCCAGAAACAAAACACTAACTTCAGTTATATAATTGTGTCACTAACTGCGTTTTTTTGCATGCCAGAGGGGCCGAGGAAAGCATTCAAAATGGCCCTCCACTTTTGCTTTGAGATGGCTAACCTTGCTGAAATGACTTTGGTAAAACTCATTTACAAATTGTACTATTGAGCTCAGTCTTCAGAATTTCTGAGGAACTTTAGATAACTCAAAATTATTTTTCTCCTTTCTTCTAAGGATAAAATATTTTCCTTCTACCACCAAAATGAAAGTTTCCATGTTATCATTATTTACACAGACATGTCTAACTTGGCACTGCTTTTTTCCTCCCAGTATCCTTGCTTTTTGTTTGGATATGACAAAACTGTTTTGAAATGAATATTTTTAATGACTTTTCCCAAAAACTAATCAAATGACTTTGTAAACAACGGGGTCTATTTTGTTATTAACTCCAGAATATTCAGAGCAGTTTTTATTCAGTAGTCTTCCTCTGAGATCTGGGCCGCTTTTCAATTTCTTCATGTCCTAGACTGAACCTTGACACTGAAAAGCGGAGGGAGGGAGGGAGGGGAGGAAAGGAAGGAAGGAAGGAAGGAAGGAAGGAAGGAAGGAAGGAAGGAAGGAAGAGATTTCTTTAGGGCACTTCCCATGGTAGGAGGTCTAATGAAGGGCTATGATCTGAAAATACTGTTTTTAATCCCCTAAAGATACACAGTTCAAATATTATAATACATAATAGCTTAATTTTAGTTTAATGACTATACAAACCTGGCCACTATATTAAACCTAAGTTTACATTTTTTTAGTACAGTTTATGCATAAAGCTAAATTAGGCTAAGGATGGGGGGCGAGGGGGTTGGATAAATTGTGTTCAGCAGGTTGCAAGAATCTATTGATTGTGTGGTTTGTGAACCAGATAATTACATTAAACCATAGTGCAGTTTACTGCAGTGTTCTTAAATTGTGGGTAATTACACTCATGGGAGTAATTTGGGCATATCCTGGGGGTAATGGAGAAATTTGTAATTTTTGAGTCAAGGATCTAGTTTGGGAAAACCACTTCCCAGAGACTTATGTAAAACAGTCTAGTTTTGTTTTGTTTTTAGAAGTAGTGACATTATTCACTATTGGGAAAAGGGACAGTTAGGTCAAATAATTTAAAAGCTCGGGAGCAGTCCGGAGTTTGGTATAGGATGGGTGGCTATATTAATGTTTTAAATAAATAAAGCCATAATTCAATAAATAAATAATTCAAGCATAGTATGTTGTGTAATTAAGCAATAGCATTATGTTAACCCTGCCTTAGAGTTTAATGAAGGGTTGGGATCTGAGGCCATGTATATCCTCCAGAGCACTCTGAGGTCGTGCGGTCAAAATAAAGCATTAAAATGTCAAATGTTGGGCATGAATGGCACCCAAAATATACTGATTCTGCCCAATTACATAGGATGATAGAAGCTACAGAAGATCTGGATTCTCAAATAATTACCCTATGCTATAAGGTTTTAGGTCATAACTAGCATTTTGAACTTCACCCTATTGGTAACCAGTGCAACTCCAGAAGTGGTTATATGGGCATAGTGTGCAAGTCTCATAACTGCCCATGCCATATTCTGGACAAGGTGCAGCTTCTGAATAGTCTTCAAGGGTGATCCCATAAAGAATGCATTACAGTAGTCAAGTCTTAAATGACCAAAGCACTAGCAGCTGTGCCAAGGCTCTCTTGGTAGTTATAGACACATTTGGCACACTAGGTGAACTTGTGGAAGGCCCTTGATGGCCCACACCTGTCATTTGCTCCTGGCATGCCAGTCCCAAAGGAACATCTCCAGGCCTGGTTGGCCCAAATATGAGTCACTCAGTCTTTTCAGAGTTGAACTTGCATGTGTTCCTCCACATCCAAGACACCCAGAGAATGTCTGTACATTGAGACAAGACTTGTCTAGTATATTTCTTATAGTGGCTATAAAGGTGGAACTGTTGCTTGACCCTCCCCTGAAGGAAAGGATCACTTTAAAAATAACTGCTGGAGAGGTCTCTGTGAATGTGATAAATAGAAAAGTAGCTATGTGTTGCTGCTGTGATCATCATAATTCCTAATATGGACTAACTGCAAAAATATTTTTAAAAAAGTTTCCTTATAGGTAGTTGCATACTTGTTTAACGTGTGTTAAAGATTCCATCTGTATCTGACAATTAGACCACAGTAATGTGTTATTCCTTGAAATACTACACTTAATTAGACATTAGCAATAGCAATAGCAATGGCACTTAGACTTATGTACCGCATCATAGTGCTTTACAGCACTCTGAGTGGTTTACAGAGTCAGCATAGTGCCCCCAACAATCTGGGTCTTCATTTTACTGACCTCAGAAGGATGGAAGGCTGAGTCAACCTTGAGCTGGTGAGGAT